AATAGAAGATTTCCGCAGAAGAAAAGGAAGGATCGAGAAGAATGGAAAGTTCCCGATTTAAGTCAAATCTGGGCGAAATGGAAAGATCGGATTGCCAAGACAAGGAGTATATAAAGAGGAGGTCTAGGGCAGAAGCAAAGGGACACGAAATTCAGAGCTCTCACCACCAAAACTAGCATTTAGGAATATTTCCGTTTTTTTCTGTTAGCGAGCTGCGTCTCAATTAGGGTTTTCTAAGTTCTTACGTTTACGGCTACTCTTTTGTAACCAGTTCAACGCAGATTCGGAATAAGAACCTCTTTGCTCTCTGTTTTCGTTTATTCTAAATTTAATTCTAAGTATTTTCGTCATCTTATTTTCGTTGTGCGGTTCTCGCAGATAGCCGGTTCCTCTGGAAACTTAGGGTTTTCCCGAAGTTTCCTTATTTACGATTTATTTGACAGTAGGGTGAAATCGACTCCCACAAAGCTCTAGATGCTGAGAAACGAATCTTGAGTTTTCGTGTCTGTTCTTTGGATATTGAAGCCTATTGGTATGTCCGGGTGTCTTTTGAATAGTGGCTCACTGATTCTACCTGCTAGTCATAAACAAGGTGAAACCATGTTGGAGACAAGATCGTGAGAGTAAAACCTAAAACGTGAAAATAAATAAACCAGAGACATGCACCATCTAGAAATGTTTTCTAAAGATATGTTTCCCCCATAAATATAAGAGAGTTGGGACATATGATATTATATTGAACATGCTCTCACATTCAATTTCAGATTAGAGCTTTCTCTCTAATAACAATAGAAGAAGATGAATCCCTCTCTTACCTGAGAAGAAAAAACGTCAAACCCATTGTATCCAGTTTCCTTCATTGGTTGAATTGCCGTCTCATTGACAGATGTCACTGTGTTAAACCCTCTACCACTATTTTCCACTGTCTGAGAGGCATCCTCCAAAAACTTGACTTTGTCTAGAGAGGTTCCGTTATCATTAGAAACAAGACATGAAGCCTCATCACCAACATCTTCTTTAGGTGCATCATCAATCGCCATCATCATCATCATCATCATCATCTGAATTCTCAGTCTCTTCACAAGAAGAATCCGTCTGAGATTTGCCGACAGATGCAGCATCAGCTTGGTCTCCATCTTTGCAGCTAAGAGGTTCAGTAATCTTCACAGTTTCCTCTGGTAAAACAACAGCTGGACGTACAAGTAGTTCAGCGAGGATAACGAGACTGTCATTCACCAGAAATCCTTCACTCTTGTCAGGAAGTTTGGTAAGGGACACAAACTTATTACACTTACTAAAACCTAAGATGATTGTTGGACCTGAATGTGGCCCGTTAGCTAAAGCCAACAGATTCGGAATGACAAGAGCTGATGATGATCCGCGCTAAGCCCACCACGGTTTAAGACGTAAGCTGTCTGCTAAAATGTTGACGAAGGAGGTCACAGAAAAGAGATCCGGTCACTTTCGTAGAAACCTAGAAGAAACAGCTCAGGATACGAAGAAAGAGGCACAAGACTCGGTCAAAGTCAATCAGTTACAAATCCCTCAACTTACGGAAGCAATCTCAGAAATCAGCTAGGAACGATCATCGTAGCTTAAGACTATTTAAGGAGGAAGAAAATGCAGGGAAAGGGGGATTCATTCAATCACTTTTACACACACATTAACTCAGAAACATTTCCATAATTCTTTGTAATCATCAAAATTATTTTTGTAATCATTCTTTTACCAAAAACATTAAATACAATCATATTAATTCAACAAGTTCTAAACGGGATTCAGCCCACGTTATCTTTTCTCCAATCTTAACCTGATCTAAAAATTAGGAGGTGAGTTTTATCCCTCACATTTGGCGTCGACTGTGGGGACGAGATAATCGAATCCCTTACTCTGTAACTTGAGAATGGATCCAACCAGCCAGGCAACGAACCCAACTATCCCTGATCCCGTGATTCAGATTGATGGCTCACCAAACGGATGAGACTCAAATCTCCAGGTCCCAGAGCCTCGACTCGCCGATCACCAATCCGAGCAACAGCCTCCGGCTAGTGCTCAACCAAACCAGACCACCACTGGAGTAACTAACCCGAGATCCTCCAGTGGAAACAGCTCTGGGATTACATCCCCCGAGAACCCTCAGCGTCAACCCGCTCCGAATCAATCAGAGGCTCAGCTATCTGAGATCCGTCGAATGATGGTGCAGTTAGTAGACAGAGCCCAAGAGAATGAGCGTACGATGCAACAGCTAGCCGCTCGGCAGCAACGATTCAAAGAAGTAACTAGATCTCTGACCGCAACAACCCAGCCACTGCAACGTCAGGGCTCGGGAATCACTTTCCGAGATCGGTTGACCGACCCCACGTTCCCTCGTGGACGTCTAGATTTTACCCCTGACAGCACTGCTCCGGATGGGCGGGAATCTGTTCTCCAGACACCTCATGCTGGAACAGCTCCTGAATTTAACCCACCTGTAACCATCGCTATGGGAAGTAATGTAGCGACAACCAGCTCTGTGCCCAATCGGGTTGCTGACCAGAGCACACGCTTGCCACCTCCTCCACCTATTTTCAGGGCCGGAGAAGGAATATCCTTCCCTTCTGAAGGTAGAACATCAGTTTCGGCTTATCGGGATGAGAACGTAACCCCGAATACTGATACCCATCAAAGGACGGAAGCTGACCCCGCAGCTCACCCCGCGGGTCGTGCTCATCGAAATAACCCAAGAGCTGGTGAGCAATATAGTCCAACAGCTGCTTGGGAGAATGACCGAACTCGACTCCTTCAGGAACCAACTCGTCAGGTACTTAATAATGACCCAACTGTCATTCCCCTAGTGGGACCTAAGGCCATTCAAAGATATATGGAGCAAACTCATGCAGCTCTCCAAAAGTTGAATGCTTAAGTCCACAAGCGACGAGCTCAGCTCCCGAAATTGAGAGCTTGATTGAGGAAACCCGTGGGACTCCATTCACTGACAGAATTGCTAGCTCTTATATAAGAGATACCCGAAAAATTAGGATCCCCGAATACGATGGGACCTCAGATCGGAAGGCTCATTTGAGAGCCTTCCGATTAGCTATCGTGATAGCTCATTTTACGAGAGAGGAATGTGAGGCAGGTTACTGCAGAACATTCGCCGAAAACCTGGTCGGAACAGCTCTCTAATGGTTTTTCGGCCTCGAGCCGAACTCAATAGACAATTTTGACCAGCTGACCAATGTCTTTATGAAGCAGTATTCGACCCATATCCTGAAGCAAGCTTCCGAGGCTGCCCTCTGGAAAATCAGACAAGGAATGGGAGACTCGTTACGGGTCTACATTGAAAAATTCAGAGCAATAAGAACTAAGCTCTCGAATCCCAACGGCCAAGTTGCCATCCAGGCCCTTAGAAGAGGTCTCTGGTATAAATCGGAATTCTGGTCGGAGCTAACGCTCAATCTCCCCCAACTATCGACGATGCTCTTCATAAAACATCTAGATATATTACCTTGGAAGAGGAAACGACCGCACTTGATAAAATCCATAAGAAATCTCAGAACCACCCGAAAGATGAAGCCCCGGAAGCAAAAGGAAACCCGAAGAAGGGGAGCTTCCGAAAGAATCAGACCCAGGGAGAGCCTTCTTATGCAATCAAAGAAGCACAACAGGAAAAACCTGTTTCCACAACGAGTAAAACCCCCTAGTCAAAAGGCTACGATGAGAATAAACACTGCTCTTACCACGATCGGAAAGGGCACTCAACCGAGGAATGTTGGGACCTCCAACGACAATTGGCATCTAAATTCGCAGCCGGAGAACTAAAGGACGTGGAGCTAAAAAAACGACCGCCTTATCAGAAAAGAGGTCCCAGAGACACCTCTCCAAAACGCGAAAGGTCACCTGAGAAGGAGACAGACTCGCCACCACCAGCTCCCAAGAAAAGAGTCGACATGATCCTTGGAAAATTCCCCCAGGGAAAAAACCTACAAATCGAGGTTCTTCTAAGCAAACCACCACCTCAATCGAGCCCCATCTCGAGGGTGGATTACATCCTTGGAGGGTCCGATATGTGTCAGGACTCCGTTAACTCTATTAAAAGTCACGTACAGAAGGCTGTGTCTAACACTCAACCTAAGCCTCCCAACTCTGAATCCAACACTAAAATTTCCTTCTGGGAAAGCGAGACATCAAACCTTGACAGGCCTCACGACGACGCCTTGATTGTCACCCTGAACATCGCAGGGTATGAGGTACCTAAAGTTATGGTGGATACCAATAGCTTTGTCGACCCTATTTTTTATAATGCCCTGAAAGGGATGGAAATAGACGACTACAAAATTATTGGCCAGAAAGCCAATCTCGTGGGCTTCTCCGGAGAAACAGTTACCTCTCTGGGAACTATTAAACTTCCAGTCATAGCTGGCGGGATTATGAAAATGACCAATTTCGTAGTTATCGACAGACCTTCTCCGTTTCATGCAATCCTAGGAAACCCCTGGATCCATAAGATGAAAGCAGTAGCTTCCACTTATCACCAATGTGTGAAATTTCCAACACTTGAAGGGATAACCACTGTACATGGTAGCCAAAAGATCTACAGGATCTGTTACTTGGGAGGATTTGAAATCCTCAAAGAGTCCCCCCAATAGCAATTACAGATCCAGGAGGATTGTGAGATGCAACAGAATTTCTGAAGTCCCCCCAGGAACCTCACTGAGCGAGTTAGCATCGACGACTCTGATCCTGAAAAACAAGTGAATATTGGATCTGAGCTACCTCTCGAAACTAAAAAGGAGCTCATTGACTTCTAGAAAAGCAATGTCAGAACTTTTGCATGGGCCACCAGTGACATGAAGGGTATAGATCCGAACGTCACTACCCACAAGCTCAATGTGGACCCAACTTTCAAACCGATCAAACAAAAGTGCCGCAAGCTGGGTCTAGAAAAAGCTCAAGCTGTTAACGACGAAGTTGACTGACTTACGAAAGCTGGATCCATTCGAGAGGTGCACTGCCCCGATTGGTTGGCTAACCCGGTAGTCGTAAAAAAGAAAAATGGGAAATGGACAATTTGTGTAGATTTCACCGACCTAAACAAGGCTTGTCCTAAAGACAGTTTCCCGCTACCTCACATCGATCGTCTTGTCGAAGCGACAGCTGGCCATCAGCTCCTGTCCTTTATGGATGCCTTCTTAGGGTACAATCAAATTATGATGAACCCTGAGGATCAGGAAAAACTGCATTCATAACCGAACGAGGAACATATTGTTACAAAGTTATGCCATTCGGTTTGAAGAACACAGGAGCTACTTATCAGAGGCTCATGAATAAGATGTTCGCTGGACAACTCGGAAAAACCATGGAAGTTTATATTGACGATATGTTAGTCAAATCCTCAGCTGGAGAAAATTACATCTCCCACTTAAGGGAATGCTTCGATATCCTCAACAAATACGATATGAAGCTCAACCCCGCAAAGTGCACCTTCGGGGTTCCCTCGGGCGAATTTCTTGGTACCTCGTGACCGAAAGAGGTATCAAAGCCAACCCAAAACAGATAGCGACCTTTCTGGAGATGCCGTCACCTAAGACAACCAGAGAGGTACAAAGATTGACTGGGTGAATCACAGCTTTAAATCGATTCATATCTAAGTCCACGGATAAATGCCTCCCATTCTACAAACTTCTAAAAAATAATAAGAAGTTTTTATGGGACGAGAAGTGCGAAGAGGCTTTCAAGCAATTGAAAACTTACCTCTCCGAACCTCCGATCTTGTCCAAACCAGTAACAGGAGAACCACTATATCTATACCTCGCCGTATCAACCGCTGCAGTTAGCGGTGTACTGGTACGAGAAGAAGAAAACGAACAAAGACCCGTCTATTATACCAGCAAAAGTCTGATAGACGCTCAAACTAGGTACCCTACTATGGAAAAAATAGCTCTGGCGGTCGTAACAGCTGCCATAAAACTATGACCCTATTTCCAATCGCATTCAATCGTCGTAATGACTTCACAACCACTACGCACGATTCTGCACAGCCCTAGCCAGTCAGGATGATTAGCTAAATGGGCCATAGATATTCAGACTCCCTCGAGCCTAACTCAAGGAATATCTCCAGGGGCACGACCTCCGGCCACAATAACACTCAGGAACC